GAGTAATACACAATGGATAAAGAGGCTGTATGGGTGCTGATATTACTTAAATATATCACGGCTATCAGATTCGAGAACCAGACAGAACTGTTGTATAAATATATATATGAACAATATCACACGAGTAGCAGTGCGATTTGGCTGTATATAAGCACTGGTGGGAGGCTGTAGTTTAATTCAATTCAATTCAGCTTTATTTGTATAGCGCTTTTACAATGTAGATTGTGTCAAAGCAGCTTCACATAAATGGTCATAGTAACTGGAACAGTGTGGTTCAGTAACTGGAACAGTGTGGTTCAGGTTTTAGTGTTTAAGTTCAGTTCAGTTCAGTTCAGTTTAGCTCAGTTCAGTGTGATTTAATCATTACTGAGAGTTCAAACACTGAAGAGCAAATTCATCGATGCGTAGCTCTACCAATCCTGAACCATGCGAGGCAGTGTCGACAGCGGAGAGGGAAAAAAACTTCACCTGATGGGAGTGAAGAAAAAAAACCTTGAGAGAACCAGACTCAGTTGGGCACGACCATTTTAATTTCTCCGCTGGCCAAAAGTCTTGTGCAGAACTTCATTCGCCGTGGTTTATGCTGGAAGATGGCCTCAATGAAGACTCGTCTGTCCCTGGAGCGTCGCTGGAATCAGACTCATGTTCTCCACTCCCCACGACCATCAGCGCAGCAGCAGCTCAGAGTTTACACTCAAACAAGGAGAGTCTAAAAACCCCCTTTTATTAGGAACTACTTTTTTCCGCCATTCATTCACATCTGCATCTGACTTCAAAACAGCAAAAGCCGTTACTAATTCACCAACTTCACTTTAGAGCTAGTGTTTGAATGACTCTGTCTAAAGTGATGACAAAACTGTTGATATTTGCTCACACTTTAAGATTATAAGGCTGAACGTGACATGATATGCCATCCATTTACAGAGATCTCTTCTTACAGTGTTGCAGTCTACAGTATTTCTCTCTTGCAATCGGGATTTCACAATAATTAACCCCGAAAATAACGACGAATCCACTAACGTTACCAGACTGCTGTTGTGTTTGCGATGAGGAAAAATGCTACACATGCAGACTTTGCTTATTTCAATTTGCCAACACAACACACATTTCTGATTTGCAAGCAAATCGGTATAAATACAGCGCTACAACATACATAAAGAGAGATCATCTAACCTGCCAACATTTCTCTGAAAACCCAGGACACCGGAGGGGAGGGGGTGTTCGGGGGTGAGGTTTAGAACAGGATGCAGCGAGTTTTGGGTGGCCGCTTCAATCGGGTACTGTACCAAAGAGGGGTGGGTGAAATTACGGGACTTTTTTAAGGGAGAAATAAAAACGGGATGTTTGTAGGAGACTGGTCTGATATACATACAGGATACTCCAGACTGTTATATCTTCTAAGCGTAAAGGCTTATTATGCAGTTCTGTCGCCAACTTGTGGCTAGAAAATGTCAACTGTGGCAGACGAGCTGTCTCTCAGAAATTGTAAATATTTAAAATAGGCACTATTCTTGCGAACAAACTTCATAGTTGCAATTTAAACAGCTACATTCTTGACAAAAAAAGCCTCAAAAGTATATTTTGTTGTGTAACAGCAGTAATATTTGTCAAACTGTAGTGTCTTGTTGCTGGCTTGTTGTGGGCGGAGTAATACACAAAGGGTAAAAAGGCTGTACGGATGCTGATATTACTTAAATATTTCACGGCTATCAGCCAATCAGATTCAAGATCCATACAGAATTGTTGTGTGTGTGTATATATATATATAAATATATATATATATAAATATATATATATATATATATATATATATATATATATATATATATATATATATATATATATATATATATATATATATATATATATATATATATCTATATATATATATATATATATATATATATATATATATATATATATATATATATATATATATATATATATATATAT